TTGCAATATTCCATCCAGATAGGACATGGTGGAGGATTGCTCGAAGTATCTTCATGCATAAGAAATAAAGTAACTTCATTTGTAAAATGTCTATTTAGATTGCCCGGAATATGATAAGAACATGTAAGAAGAAAGGAAAAACACAGATCTTGTAAATGAAGTACAAACCTCTCTTCTTTATTTGTGTTCAATTTGTAAAAAAAAAAAATATCATGTAACCATAGTAAAAGTGTTTCTCGTTTGCTTAAAGAGTAAATCAAATAATCGAGATTGATTGATCTCTGAGAGATACCATTGGACACCTACCTGAGTGGAGTTGAGTATTGTGAAGATGTATGCGAAAACCTTGTTTACAGGCGAGAGAAGACCAAACAGCCACGTGACACCCAGAAGGGGAATCATTACCAGGCAGGCCTTGATACCAAGTCTATGAAAGATAATAAAAAACAATTATTCTATTCGCTATCGAGGCTCTAATTATCTCAATTAATTTTTTTGTACGAACGAAAAACTTTTACTATATTTGTAGAGCATGGTATAGTGGCTCATAGCCCGTGATGGCTAAGCCAACGAAACCTCAGGAATTGCATTATCCAATGATCCAGTTTGTAGTTGTAGGGGCTATAGGATTTTATAAATCGATTTTTTTTTCTTTCAAAATAGTTTGTTATCACTAGATAGTATCCAAATGCCTCACTGATTAAGGAATGAGGACGCTAGACGAATGTCGCCGTACAAGATGATATGTCAGTTTGTTTACTTTAGTTTGTTTTAATCTCATATAGTGAATCTAACCGTATTTGCTGTGCATGGTTGTCTCCCCCTGTTGGCTGCACCATTGTGGTCATCTCCCTTATGACTCGCACGAGTATCAAGATGTTCAGCTTAAATAGAAATACATTAAAAATATATGAGTATCTAGATATGATAGCCAAACACGTTATTCGTTCGGTAACAAAAGCGGTACAAGGAGAACAACAAAATGAGTCCTTCACTAAGAATAAAACTACCGACCTGCAAACCCGAAGTAAGAAATACTTAATGGAATTAACTACACCCAATGTGGTACTTTGCTTAATTTAACATCTTCAACTCTTCCTGCTCCTTCCTCTCTTTCAGCGTTGTTTGATGTGCTATTTTGGCGCGGAAAGAATTTATTTGTATGTCAAAATGAAAAGAAAAAATGAATGAAACTGACAACGAAGGGGCAGAAGGTTCTTTTCCAGTTACACAGCAAATGTTTTGGAGAGTTGATTAATCCATCTTATGCTTCTGAGCAGACTGTCTCATAAGGACGTCTCCGCGATATCGAGCCATTATTAAGTTCAAATGGGATTAGCTTCCCTGCATTCTGTTGCAAAACCCAAAGTGTCTTGTGAGTAAATATCATGGAGGATATCATGCCAGATCATCTCACTAAGAATTATCTAAGTAATCTTTTAGTGTGCGTGAAAGAGGAAGAAATCTCTGGCAATAACGAGTCTGAGTACACCATCTACAATCACATAGGCTAATCATAAACTTACTACTTCAATGAACGCCAAAAAGGCGACGAACATCCAGATAAGGTCGTTATTTG